TTTTTTTTTTTTTTTTTTTTTTTTTTTTTTTTTTTTGTATGATTAACTGCTGTTACAAATTGAACTCTCCTCAGGACGACATATGTCAAATGAATAAAACGATTGCTTTCTTTTTTCTCTGGGCTGTGTAAATTTGGATCTATACATCTTAAATTAAATAAATCACTTTGACAAGGTGTGTATGACCCAGCTTGTAGCTCACAAGTGGCTGGCACGTTTTCCCATGCAGAAGATGTGCTGCAGGTGTCTTCAGTGGGTGAATGGTGGGCTCAGCTGGAGCAAATTAGTCTCTCAGCCCAGAAAACATGGAGTTTTGAAAGCTTTATCTGTACATTTGGAGTTCAATTTAGAGTTAGGTTCACTATGGAATAAAGGGAGAGAGTTACTGGCAGTGATTTCTGGATTTTATTTATTTGAGATTCAACTAATGACTTACCTAAGCCAATTCTTGAGTATTTTTCAAAGGATGGGTCAATCTTCACCCTGTGTTGCATGACTTATTTAAAAGCAGAAGTTCTGCCTAGAAAGCAGGAATACAGGAAAGAAGGAATGAAGTAGAATTTGTGTCTCTGATAACATATTGACTACGTTATAGAATGGATAAAAAGAGGTTAAAAATTCTAAAACAAAAGCAGAAATTAAGCTGCAGTGTAATATGAATGTCTAAAACAAAACTCTCCCTAAATACCTCTTCATTCTGGAGGTCTTTTCTTCCAGAAACACCAGTCTCAGCAAGAGTTGTGACTACTACACTGCTTGACTTGCAAGAGTGAGCTTTATTCAGATGGCTTGCTTGTTTGTTTGTTTGGCTTGTTTTATGGCACTTTTGGGGAATACAGATACCTACATAAGGTGAAATGAGAGATGTTTCAGTAGCTCTGGAGGAAACGTTAGCTCTGTAGAGACTGGAGTTTCAAAACCATCTCTTCCCTATGAGTTCTGTAGGCTAGCTCCACGATATTTCCCCTTAAAATTTATTTTCTGGTTTCAGTCCTTCTTTTGGGCACCATTTTTCTTTTGCAGCTTTTAGTTTGGAGTGTAACTGTGAGTAGCTGCAATGTATAACATCTAGTTCTAAGTGTTATTTATTGAGCCTAATATTTTGAATTAAAACTTGTCCTAAACCATGGGGCATTTCCTTGACCTAACAGGTGTATATGCATCCTCCCACACCAAAATGTGTATTAGCCTCTTGGAATGTATTTCTTTCAGATGTCTTTAATTTTAAAAGCTGTGATGAAGCCCTCCAAAGCAGACATTTCCTACTCTGCTTTCAAAACTTTCTTTGTTTTAATAATGTTTTAATACTGAAAATCTTACTGTATGGAATTCCCTTACACCACCCAAATAGACAAGAGAAATTCAATTCTAATGACACTAAGGAAAGGCAAATGGTGAGGAGCTGTTGTTCCTATTATTTCTTGTAAATTTTGGACTTGAAGATCTAGCTGAATTATAGCTATACACTAAGCCTACAGTCTAAGGCACTGCTTCTTGCAGTGTGCTGTTGAATGGAGAGAACCACAGCAAAGTCAATGAAACTTAAGTAGGTACATCAGTCTGCTAGTCCTGAGCTATTTTTGTAATAACTTATTACAAGAATGGGTATAAAACATGACTGGATGCACTGGAAAAAAAATCAAAGAGGAATGAACTAGAATCATATTGTCAATCTTTCTTTCTTTCTTTTTACCAACAATTTACTTAATGTCACGGCAGCAAAAATTACTCTCTGGTATTGCACAAGATTGTGATTGACTAACCTTCAGTAGATTTTCTGTTTCCTTTTGTTTTCAGCTTAGACCTTTTCTCAGGACTATCTGGCATAAATCATGAGTTACTGCTCTAAAGTTCAGATTTATACTTAGGAAATCTTCAGAGAACTTCTTTTACTCCAGTTTTACTGTTGTGAAGAATTTAGGTTACGTTGGTGCTAGACCTGAGTGTATCCTTGTTATGCAAGAAGGATATTGATGCATAGCACTGTATTTAGAAGAACAGACAAAACTCCTTTACTTCAAACTTTCTGAAATAACCAGGAAAAATAAAAAATATCATGATCTGGAACAACCCTTCATTACCTGTTGCATCCTTCATTTGTCTTAGACAACCAGCCACACCTGAAGCCAGTTTAGCATTAACCTCCTGCTATTGAGTTCACCCCAAAGCTGTTTGGAATAATCTACAAAGATTCAAAAGTGGGGCAGGTATAAGATATGTCACCAAGAATTCCAGTCATTTCACTGAATTCAGGTCTGAATTTGGCCTCATACATGTCAACGCTGGTAATAATGTGGAAAACATCTCCTTCCTATTTTGGGAGAAGGGAGAGCTGTTCCTTGAATTTCCGTGGTGGAACAATAGAGAGAAAAAAGCAAAAATGTGGATTTGTCTGAGGCACTATGACCTCTAGGATTCCTGTGTGTGAGGTATATGTGGCCATTTGACCAATGTCTTTAGCATTCCCCTTGGCATTCTTTGAAATTGTCTATTACAAAACAGATGGTGCAGTAGTTACTTTTTGAAGGGCTAGAAGAGCATGACCACATCTGGAATTAATCTTTAGCTCCCTAAACCAATAGATCACCCAGTTTTAAGAGAGCCTTCCAGTATAAATGCATTGCACAAGTACAGAGGAAGAATGCACAGCTTTAAGGCAGAGTATAAGCAGTCTGGAACTATAATTAATAGGCACACAACTCCTTCTGTTCAACTGTCTCATTTATGGGCAAGTCTTTTCTACAAGGATTTCTTTTTATTTTCATTGCGCAATAGCAATAAGTGAAATATATAACTTCTTAAATGAGATTTTTAAAAATCCATAAATTTTCAGGTTTTGTATAAAATATTTTTCTTTTCTGTTGACAGCTACAGTAATCCTAAAGAGATGACCTCTTTCATTTTTACCCTGTCCTTTGCCTCAAAGGATAGCTAAATGTTGTATTAAACCAGCATGCACACCAGCATCATTCAGATAAAGCTAGCTATGGAGTTCTGGGTGGTCATTAAGCAGTACAACATACTCTGAAGAATGATTGGAAAGGGCATTAGGGCATTCAGTGCTGATGCTAAGATAAAAACTGTTTCTGCACCTTTGATGCCAAGGAAAAGCACGTTTTAACCCATAGAACTTAATAGTTTAAAGTGCCTGATACTGAACTACCTGGCTAATATTTACTCTGAATAATCTAAATACTTTAAATATCAAATGGGTTATCTATCATTATGGAGAAAAAATTGTAATGTGAAAAATGCATTATTTCCTGCCAAGGCCCAACATTTGTGTAACAATGTAGTTATAGGGGCAAAGAATTTTGAACACTATCAAATCTACAAGTTGTGTCTCTGATACTATGTTTTAAAAGATAAAATTTCTCTCTTGTCTGTAGTATTTAACTTGGCTTGTATGCTATTCCATCCTTCTTTTGTAAAACACCTAGCACAGGAAGACAGAAAACACCTGCAGGTAGATAATACGGTGTTATATTCCCAGATTGAATTGTTGGCCCTCTAATTCTCATAAAGTGGAAGAATTTGAAACATTTCACAAGGTAAAAAACATTTCACAACATGGATTCCACAGCAGTTGTGGGTGGCTGACAAAAATAAAACCAACCTCTTTACCCACCAGTTTAGAATTTGGGGTTTGAGATATATCTGATTATGGATTGCAGCTACCCTGCCTATCAATTCTTTATAATCATTGCTGCTTTCCTCAGCTTGAAAATTGAAGTTTTGCTGAAGTTTTTGCAGTATTTCAAATCAGTACCTACCTCTAGGAGCACACACAACACAATTGTGATAGGATATCCTGCAAATTACAGACTACCTTAGGTTTGGAATCTGTTTGCATCCCATGGTTAATTCTTTCATAATCTGTTAAAGTATTCTTGTTGGTTTACCTTCAATATTTTCCTTACTTTTAAGATATAAAGATTATATAGCTGATTCTGTAGAATGCTAGCATCTTGATTAATTCTGCACTTAGAGTTTAGCATTTTTGAGTAACAGAGTAAAAAATGCATATACTTTTATAAGCACTCCAAAGAGATATTGGCACAAGACACACTAGGAGTAGATCTGCACTGACCCAGGCTGCAGCCTGAGTCATGCCATATTCCCATACCTACTTCCTTGTCATCTACTTAGGACCCTTGCTGACAGTCTGCAGATGTTCATCATCCAGTCAATATATAAATCTGAATCAGTATTCTTATTGAAAGTATTGTGAGCTTTTCGCTTACCTGTTTCACATATTTCCATAAAAACATGGGTAGATCTTGACTGATAATGTCTTCCACTCAACTGAGGTTGATCAACTGGAATTATTTCCAGCCTATATGCCCTGAGCATACTTAACTCTTCTCTGTGTTGGCTGAGAAGTAGAATGCTTTCTTTGCAAACAAGAAAGGTATTTTTTCAAGAAGGATTATATTCTGTTGAAATTTTTCCAAACCCTGGCAAAAAGTTGTGCAGTTAGTTCTGAAAGCCAGTCACTTGGTAATGTTTACTATTTAATACAAACAAATAGTTTTTATGAGGAAGATAAATTGTGGCTGTGCAGTTAAGAATGAGTTCAGTTTTGTATTTCAAATTTACATTAAGAGCCATGCTATATCCTGGCATCCAGCTAGAAAATTCTGCTTACAGCTAAGTAGTATGCAATTGCTCGCACTGCAAGTGAATAATGAAAGTCTGTCTGAAACAAACAGTCCAAATTCTGTGTGCAAAACTGAGATGCTGAAGTTTCTGTGGCTTTGTTTTGACTAGAAGTTTCTTTTACTGTTATATATAACAGCACACATATCCACATGAGGGCACCAGCTGACATCTTATTTTCAGACCAGTGTGTAATCTCT